CTCTCTCTCTCTCTCTCTCTCTCTCTCTCTCTCTCTCTCTCTCTCTCTCTCTCTCTCTCTCTCTCTCTCTGTCTCTCGCTCTCTCTCTCTCTCTGTCTTTCTTTCTCCCCCATCTCCCTCCCTCTCCCATCTCCCTCCCTCTCTACACACTCTCGTTACAATGTGTGGTTGTCTGTGTAGGGAGGTGGCGGTGTGACGTGTGTGCTGCAGGACACGCAGGCGTATGACAAGGCTGGCGTGAACGTCTCCATCGTTCACGGCATCCTCCCGCCGGGAGCCGTCCAGCAGATGCGCTCGAGGTAGGAGACACGAGAGCGTTTTACTTTATTTATTTATCTATTATTATCATTATTATCATTATTATTATTATTATCATTATTATTATTATTGTTATTATTATTATTATTATTATTGTTATTATTATTATTATTATTATTATTATTATTATTGTTATTATTATTGTTATTATTATTATTATTATTATATTCACATTATATTTACTAGCATTATTTATTACTGGGCGAGTCTATTAAGGTAAAGGAGGTCTTTAGGTAATTATCCATATATACGTACTGCTACAATAGATTCACATGGAGATCACTATACAAGTCCATTTGCGTTTCCACGTGAATTTGCCGTTGTTTACTTTGTCTCCCAGCTAGTAATAATGCTAGTAAATATAATGTGAATATAGTAGTAATAGTAACTAATAATAATAATAATGGTAATAGTAGATAAATAAATAAATAATATAAATTCAATAATAATTATAATGGTAATATCGGTAAGTGATAACGATACACGTAATGCATTCTTCCGCGTTCTTACTCTATTTGTGACCATTGTTACTGCCATCACCTTGCTTGTTCTTACCTGCAGAGGTAAGGACCTGAAAGACGGAGAGTTGCCATTTTTTGCTGCTGGAATAAGTTCAGTCGTCCATCCAGTAAGTGTGAGATAGCTGCTGAATGTAAATAGATGTATATAGTATGGATTGTAATAGATGATTAATCCATGGATAGGATACGATCGAGGAGTAATACATATCAATTGATAAGATAGATAGGTCTAGGCCAGGTAGCAGGTAGGCCATACAGACTACACAGAGCAACAATAGGCCTGCAAGCACGGCAGGCCAAGACAGACATGACAGATAGGCAGGCGGCAGGCAGGCAGACAACAGATAGGCAGACAGGCAGGCATACAAGACACACAGACAGACAGATAGGATGCAGCGAGGCAGGCAGGCCAGACAGATAGGCATGCAAACACGGTCAGGCAGGCATACAGACACAGACAGACAGATAGGCATGCACACAGGCAGCCAGGCATAAGCAGACACACAGACAGACAGATAGGCATGCAAGCAGGCAGGCAGGCATACAGACACACAGACAGACAGATGGACACTGCAGACACACCGACAGACAGATAGGCCAGACAGACAGATTAGCCATGCAAACATGGGCAGGCAGGCATATAGGCATGCAACATGCGGCAGGCAGGCAGACAGACGACAGACAGATTAGCGCATACAGACACACAGATCAGAGACAGATAGGCATTGCAAACAGGCAGGCAGAAGACAGATAGGGGCATACAGACACACAGACAGACAGATAGGCATGAAGCAGACACGACTAGGCAGATAGATATTGGACCGCCTGATTGTGATAGATTGTTAAACCCTGGATTTGATAAATTGATAACAGTTTGACGTGACAGACTTGATATCCCAGTTTGTGATAGAATGATAAGCCCTGAGCGTGAATAGAATGATAACCCTAATCATGATGTATGCATAATGCCTACTATCTATGCTGATCGAGTAATATATCTGCTGTATTCTAATGTCTAGTCGGTGAACTTTGAACTTCATTCAACGCCACATTTCTACTACTCTAACTGCACCATACGACAAGGGTCTCCCTGACAACAATCACATCGATCACCATGGCGACAGCTAACAAAGAGGCTATCTGTGTTTGCAGAAGAATCCCAACGTTCGACGATACATTTCAACTATCGGTACTTTGAGGTGGACGAGGGAGATGGCCAAGACATCTTGGTGGTTCGGGGGAGGAACCGACTTAACTCCGTACTACCGATGAAGAGGCTGAATAGAAGACATAGGTTATGAATTCGGGTAAGGGGTAGGGGTGGTTGTCATGCTGTTGCGCCTTATAATGATGATGATGATGATGATGATGACGATCGATGATGATGATGATGCTGCTGCTGCTGCTGGATGATGATGACGATGATGATGAATATGACTATAAATCCTGACAAATGGTAGCGGGAGAGAGGTGTTATGCTTCTGGTGTGCTGATGACGATGATGATGATGACAATGAATGACGATAACAGCGACAATGAATGACGATGGCAGCCGACGACCAATGATGACGTGATAACCAAGAGATGTGACGCTAATGCTGTTTAATGTGGTCAGGGCTACCGCTGGCATTCGCCACCTTCCAAAACCGCGGTAATAAATTATAGTGGCGAGTTAGCTACACTAAGCACAAATAAAATTGGCCGAAGATATAACACTTTTCTTTTTCTCCAATTACGATTGAATAATGAAAGCAGCTGTCGTGTCGCTAAAATGTTTTCATAACCTCTCTCCATACCCATCACTGTTTATGCCTTGCTTAGCACATACGAAAAAGTGAACAGTGCTCATCTTTCATTGATGGTAAAATATAACTTGGGTGGCTCAAGTCTTGGCTCAAACTTTAAAACATCCAGAGGGAGCCTGCGGTGGTAAAAGTGCTTATGTCGTCTGTTGCTAGCGACGTGAATTATGTCGGCTCTGTTACTAGGACGTGAAGATGTTTCATCAAACCCTGAAGAGGCATGTGACAAGCATGGACAAAATTACTACAAGCAGTTCAAGACATGGTGCGACAACTACTTCTTTGTCAAACAACAGAGCGTATGCGAACTCACGCTGGTTCCATTTTAAGAATACGTGTGTTTGTGTGCGTGTGCGTTATATTTTTGTAACTATTCAAATGTACAAACAACTGTCTTAGTATCCCCTCAGCACACATACTGCTGCTACAATATTGCATCGTGCGCCATCTACGGGGAGAAATTGTTTAAAGGTATGGAGGTGACTGAGTCGAGGTGAACAAATCTACGCTGGCTGGACTGGTGTTATGGTTACGTAGCATTGCTCTTTACATTGTAATATATGTGTAATATAATCTCTATTTTATATAAATATATATTATAAATAGTGAATATGTAATAACTAATTCATTGACTTACAAATAGAGTCTTTATCTGTTGGTAGGTGAGAGCGAGGTGTCGGCGGTATATTTTTCGATGACTTGGATCAGCCCAATCAAGAGGCAGCATTTGCCTGTACAGGTACATATTATATGAGTGTAGATAGATGACAAATGGCAGAATACGTAAGACCATTGATGCAGTGTATATTATCAGAAATCCTTCTGCGCGTGTGACTGTGCTGTGTGAGACGCAAGTGATATGAGGCACACAATGCGTTATGTTAACACGTATATTTTACCTGTTTTGTTTAACTTGTTTATCAACATCCGGGAGCGAATGATGAAAGATTTGTCATTATTCATTCTTGTTAACAATGATTCATTGTGAAATTTTTGGCCTGCATTCTTCCTATATGAATTAAATGCTGTTCAATACGAGTATATGTTTCGTATTTAGATCAGGCTTTGAATTTATTTTCAACTAGATTTATAGATTTCTTTTTTGGATAGAATTTTGCTAGGATAGACACAGTTCTAATATTTGTTTCTTGTTGGTGTGTGTGCATGCGTGAATGCTTGGTGTGTGCGTGTGTGAATGCTTGCGTGCGTGCGTGCGTACGTGCATGTGTGTGTTAGTGGGCCTGTTTGATATGTTCTTTAATGTGGCATGCATAATTTTTCCCCGTATAGTCGTGCGCAGAAGCGTCGGTGCCATCTTTTGTTCAATAATGAAGAAACACAAGAACGAGCGTTACGGTCACAGAGAATGGTGAGTCCGCAATGGCAGTGATGATGACGATGATGATGATGATGATGATGACGATTGATGATGATGATGATGATGATGATGATGATGATGGATGATGATGATCATGATGATGACGATGATCATGATGATGATCATGATGATGGTGATGATCATGATGACGATGATCATGATGATGATGGTGGTGATGATTGATGACGGGGGATGATGATGATGATGATGATGATGATGATGATGATGATGATGATGATGACGATATGTTGACAACGATGACACGATAACAATTTTCTCACCACATGTTCCATTTTCCTACTCAATTTACCGTGTTCCAAACACATGCTTCTATTACACTGTGTTCTAAATCTTTCTATGCATTCTAATCTGCTGTGTGTTTCCCCATCATGGCAGGAACTGGCAACAGATGAAATTTAATTCCTGTTCAATACAAACTATGTGCCAGTATTTAAATCGGGCTTTGAATTTATTTGTCATATAGATTTATAGATTTCTTTTTTTGCGATAGCATTTTGTTTTAAATCTTTCTAAGCGTTCTAATCTGCTGTGTGTTTTCCCATCATGGCAGGAACTGGCAACAGCTTAGGAGGGGCAGGTATGTAGAGTTCAACCTGATCTACGATCGTGGCACTAAGTTCGGACTTCTGACACCAGGGGCGCGCTTTGAAAGCATACTGATGTCTCTACCAACGACTGCAGTAAGTTGTCTTAATTCTGTTCATTCTTGTTTATTACTATATCCCCCTCTTCATGCTGTGTATAGTCACTTATGTTTATTGTAAGGTTAGAATAAACCTTCTGCACCACAAATCAAAGCCAATCAATTATTTTTATGAAAGATGTGATAAGGTTCGTGATTAGTGTTAGGGTTAATTAGCATTGAATTAATAATTATAATTATGGTTAGGGGTTGTGGTAGCGTTAGAGGTAGAGTTAGTGTTGGGGATGCGGTGGTTAGAGTAACAGTTATATTTAGAGTTTGGGTTAATATTAGAGATCGGGTAACCTTCGCAGTTTGGGTTACCTGGGTCTATGAAATGCCACATGTAAGCTCACGTATTGGCCAGAAATTCCATTGAAGAAATGTACAAAGAAACTATTTAAATTTTATGTAACTTTATTTTTGTAAATAAATTTACTTTGCAGCGGTGGGAGTACATGCATTCGCCAGAAGAGGGCTCTGGCGAGGCAAAACTACTAGACGTGCTTAAAAATCCAAAGGATTGGGTCTGAATGTGTCTCTCCCAGAAGTTACACTGGTATGTTTGTCATGGGTCACAATCCCTCTATGTCTAATCCTCACTAGCATTGTAATTTTAACCCATCGGCACAACCTTTCATATGGTTTGTGAGTTACACGCCTTTTTTCTCACATAATACCTATAGTTGTCTATGTGGCCCTGTTTTGGTAGAGGGATAGACTCGTAATAAATTCATGTGTATACCCTATGTGCTGTGATAGTACATACATGTATCTACAGATAGAGAGAGTGACAAAATGAGTGTATGTGTGCAAGTGATTCACAAAGATGCTTCAACCAATTTAAAATTAAATTGAATTGAACAATAATAACATCGACAACACTGCGTAGTATATATATATATGTATGTATGTATATATATTTATATGGTATAGTTATATTATATTAGCAATCGCATCATACGGCGTTACCACGTTGTGGTGTCGCCACCACGCCAGAAATCTGTACATGAATGCGACAATTATCTATACTAGCGCCCTCTACATATGCACATCAGAAAACACAGCGTTATGATATATGTATTATTCGCGATATTTCGAGCTGCCGGTCATATAGCTGTTGATACGCTGTGAGCTTCTAACCTAACCTATAGAAACAGACGTGGCTAACCGAGCTTATACATTTTCATTAGTTATTTCAATTTCGTGATCGGTCCTCGAGTTTTGCGAGGCAACCAGTAGTCTTATATCGAAGCCGTTCCGTAAGTTGCTTAAACGCCACTAGATGGCGGTAGGTGACAGCTGCCCGGGAAATCGGCATTGGTATCACAACCCAAGAGTGTGGTTGCGTGGATAGATTCATCTGTGTTCGCTGCACACCCTACGATATCATATACAAGTTAGATAATCAACGAGTTATAAAAAAAAATGCTGGAGACGTAATTCGTGGTCAGCGCGCAATTCAACCACGATTTCATTACAACGTTATCATTACAGTCTTTCCCCGCAAATCTTCGCAGATTCGCGGAACTTATTAATATGGATATTATATTATGGATCAAGTAGTCGATTCGTAGTCCGCAGTGATCTAACATCGCCGGGTTATAGTAAAACCGTGTAACTAGTAGCGGCAGTGCGTTCGTCGTAGTCTACTCTCGCCTTCACGCGTCCGCCGCTATGTCTAACATTCGGCAATGGCCGACACTTGCATCACCGATCGCCGCGAAACGCTCCGCGCGTCTGTACAGTTCAAAAAACATTCCCTCTCGTTTGCGGGTCGCAATTATTTACAAGGCGGATAAATAGGGTCATCGTTGCACCACAACAACAACAACAACAACAACAACAACAACAAAACAATAATATAATAATAATATGTGTTTGCGTATGCAGCGGCGGCAGCGGCGGCTACGCACACACGTTATTTACATGACGATGACATTTGTTGTTGCGTATAGTAGCTATAGTATGAAATGCCGGGTTCACGCCTCCCACGTGTGCCATGCAGAGAGATGTGTCGTGAGAAACAAGACAAGAGTGCATCAGTGATTTGTGCTGTTGGCTTAAGGCGCTATCGCGAGACGTAGATTCTTCCTCCGTGTGACTCTCACGCTCTACCTATTCCTCTCTTTCGGTCTCCATCTCCCTCCAACTATCCGTCTCCCTCTCCCCCACCTCTCTCTATATCTCTATCTGTCTCTCCTCTTGCTCTATATCTCTCTCTTCCTCCCAATCTCTTTCTCTATCCCTATCATTGTTTGAGCTTGCTCAGATCAGACCATTAGCACTCTCCAAAAACCCTCGTCACAGCGCACGGTGGCTCCCTCTCATATCCGCTGCCACCACTACACGACGGCGCCCCCTCACCACACCCAACACCTTACAGTTCTACACCCTCACTGCTGACACCTCGTGGTGGCGCCATCACGGACGCGCGGTGGCGCCCCCACGCTAGCGTCGTTGCGACCGAGCAGTGGCGCCCCCTTGCTAGCGTCGTCGCAGTCGCGCGGTGGCGCCCCCTCGCTAGCATCGCCGCGCGGTGGCGCCCCCTCGCTAGTGTCACCGCGCAGTGGCGCCCCCTCGCTAGCATCGCCGTGCGGTGGCGCCCCCTAGCGTCGCCGCGTGTACTCGGCGAGCAGCTGCAACAGCTGGTCGTGGTCCATGCTGTTGAGCAGGGCGACGTCCATGCCGAGCGCGTTGGCAACGCTCGTCATGTCGAGTCCGAATGACTTCAACAGGTCAATGAAATCCATCTCCTCGCCTGCCGAGAGAAAACACGTGTGTGTGTGTGAGAACACGTGTGTGTGAGAGAGAACACGTGTGTGAGAGAGAAAACACGTGTGTGTGTGAGAGAGAAAACACGTGTGTGTGAGAGAGAACACACGTGTGGTGTGAGAGAGAACACACGTGTGTGTGTGTGAGAAAACATGTGAGAGAGAAAACACATGTGTGTGAGAGAAAACACGCGTGTGTGAGAGAGAACACGTGTGTGTGAGAGAAAACAGCAGTGTGTGAGAGAAAACACGTGTGTGAAAACACGCGTGTGGGAAAGAAAACACGCATGTGTGAGAGAAAACACGTGTGTGAAAACACGCGTGTGGGAGAGAAAACACGTGTGTGTGAGAGAAAACACGTGTGTGCGTCAGTGCGGTCAGGGCAGCGCAGATATATAGATGTAGGTGTGGATGGACGGATGGATGGATGGATAGATATTAGATAGATTAGATTGGACAGACAGACAGACATCAGACACACAGATATGTGGATTGATAAACCGATAGATAAACACTGATTTGTAACTACTGACCGGTGAACGGGTTGCGTAGCTTGGGGCACGCCTGGTTGCACTGAGGCCACGCGCAGCGGTCGATAAGCCTGTGCCGACATCGGCTGTTGTGGAGGCGCCACCTGTGGTCGAAATCCTCGTCGTCTTCAAACGTGGCCGCTCGCTTCGTCTGCTGACGATTCCGAGCTGAAAGTCGGGGTTCAGATGCTCATGTGTTTATCGTATCAACATTACATCTCGTAAGAGAGATCTTCATATTCTTCATTAATGAGCTGTATTAACGAGCTGTGTTAACGAGCTCTGTACGCGTCGTATCTCCCAGTCCGTGCTAGCTAAACCTAACTCACACTAGTTGATCCTGATCCTGGTAGTTGTACCTAACTCTAATAGTTTTCCCTGACCCTGATCCTGATTGATGACCTTGACTCTGATAGTTGACCCTGACCCCTGTAACTGACACTGACCCTAGTAGCTTATCCTGACCCTAGTAGCTTATACTGACCCTAGTAGCTTATCCTGACCCCTGTAACTGACGCTGACCCCTGTAACTGACTCTGACCCTAGTAGCTTATCCTGACCCTAGTAGCTTATCCTGACCCTACTAGTTGTTCCTATAGGCTACGCGCGTGTTACCTTTGCTCTTCCTGTTGCGAGTTCGCTGTCTGCGAGAGAGTCGCTCCTGCCTGCGTTGCTGCTTGCTCAGCCGACTCCGCTGACGTGTCGGTTCTGATGCTGATGCTGACGCTGCTGCTGCTGACTCCGCCTGATCACTCAGCATCACCTCACTGCAAACACAGCTAACAGTTAACATGGTTCTCTACTGCTGCTGCTGCTGCTGCTGATGATGCTGCTGATGCTGCTCTGCTCCTGCTGAATCCGCCTGATCGTCAGCATCACTCACTTGAAAAACACGCTAACAGTTAACATGGTTCTCTACTGCCTGACTGATGATGATGCTGCCATGCTGACGCGCTGTGATGCTGCTGCTGCTTGATGCTGATGCTGCTGCCTGCTTGACTCCGCCTGATTCCACTCTAGCATCACCTCCTGGAAAACACAGCTAACAGTTAACATGTCGTTCTCTATCTGCTGCTGATGTGCTGCTGATTGCTGCTGCCTGCTGGATGCTGAATGCTGCCTACTGCTGCCTTGCTGCTGCTGCCTGATGCTGATGCTGATGCTGATTGGTGCTGCTGGTGGTTGGTAGATGGTGGTTGGTGGTGGTGGATGGAGTGAGTGTGCGTGGTTGGTGTGCTGCTTGCTGCTCTGATGATGAAGATGCTGTATGCTGCCTGATGCTGTCTGCTGCTTGCTCTGCTGCTGCTGCTGCTGCTACAAGTCGGTGCCGCCCTGGATGTGGATGATGGTTACCATCTCTTCGAGAGATATAATTTTTAATACGGCCATCAAGTGTGAGTCAACCATCGGCAATTACTGCCACTAACAAAGCTCACAGCATTACGCGAGGACCTCGGCCACTGGGCATTTTACTATAGCCAATTCTGCCATGTTTGCAGAACCCATGCTCGGAATACAAAAAAACATTGCATGGACTAAAAACTGCGGACTGAGAGTCGTGATTAACGGCAAAGGCAGAAAGAGCCGATATGATATGGACTTACCCCCCCCAGGCCACTTTATTAAATTAATTATTTTTTTTTAGGGCGTTAAGGGTAGGGTTAGGGCTTATGGTTTTTTTTTTTTTAAGTTGTCCTAGTAGTCATTATCCTAAGTTGCCTAGTAGTCATATCATATCGCATCTAAATGCCCGGTGCGATTAACCGTCGAGCCGACGTTGTCATGGTAACGCTGCTTTACGGGAAAGCGGAGCAGGTCGAATTCCGTTGGGTTGCGGTGGTGTTTGTGGTTGTCCTGTCGTTGGCTGGCGTCCATCCAGCAGCGCAGCACGCCTGCCCGTACGTCACTCCATCTAGTATAACGGTACTTGCACTCCTGCCAACAATCACCATCATAACGTGGTTACAGTGTATTATACTAGGTTGGGAGACATCTAATTCTGCACTCCCTGGCCCGCAACATCACATCATAAGTGTTATCTAGCGTGGCCGCCATCTATCTTCCCTCACCCTGCCAACATACAATCATGCGTGCTTACAGCGTCTAGAGTGTTATAGTAGGTCGGCTTGCCACCAATCTATCTGACCACTCTCATAACATTAAATCCTTAGGCGTGTTTATAAGCTGGTTACACTTCGATACTGAGAGGTATTCAACTTCGTACTGCACGTATCTATTCCATATCTGCTCTATCACTATGTCTGTTGTGTCGTTATATAAGATATGAGCTATGAGATAAGATAGCATGGAACAATGTGCTTACTTCTTTGTTGATATCTGCCTCACACATATCTGTTCTATCATTACAGGACATGAGACTTAAAGGATATATATATAGGATAGGATAGCATCTCTGACGTGTACTCACTTCTTTGTGATATCTCTTCTATTGTATATAGAATACAAGATATATATATATATACATATATATAGGATAGGATAGCATCTCTGACGTGTACTAACTTCTTCGTGATATCTCTTCTATTGTATTTAGAATACAAGATATATATATATATATATAGGATAGGATAGCATGTAAGACATGTGCTTACTTCTTTGTGAGTACGATGTGTGACAGGCAGGAGGCTGCGAACATGGCCGACACGTTCTGGAATGTCGCCTTTAGTTCGTTGCCCATGCCGTGTATGTAGTCCCACTGATCCTTGGTGACGGGCGGCCCAACGTTGTCCACCGTCATCTGTGCCTCGTCGTACAGCCATTGGAAGACGAACAGCGGCGCTGCAAACGAACGCGTCGGGGCGGCGTCAGTCTACGAGTTGTTTTACAGGTGGCGGGGGGGGGAATTTGCACAATTATGATAATGTCAATTGCATGCTAGAGGGGGACTTGTGTCGCCAGGTGGCGCTTGCCTCGGGGAGCGTTAATTGGGTGATAGATAGAAGTTTGAATTAATTATCGGATTTTAATTGATATTTAATTTAGTAATTGATTTCTAAGAACGAAAGATGAGAGTAAGCAGTCTGAACCAGAGATGAGCGTCACCAGTAAAGTATTACTAGTGACAAGTGACTAGTGACTAGTAATCGATTTACTATTACTAGTGATTAGCTTGCATACTCGGCGTTGCCCCGGGGAAAAACGCTTGTGAACAACTTGTAGAGCAAACTCTGGCACACCATTTACTTAATTCTATGGATAGAGTCACCACATCAGAGTAACAACAATATAACACATAATCAATATATGAAGGATTCTGAGTGTCAGGAATCGGAAACTGTCGCGACGTTTTCGGAGGCGGATTCGCTCGAAGCCTCACCTCTCATGGTGTTGTAGGCGCGGTAACCAAAGTAGCACCTCCAGTGTTCTGTCGGGTACTCCTCTTGACATCGTTCGGGCACCTGTCCGCTCCAGTAGCTGTAAAACACACGAACATGGACGTTAACAATCACTAGTAACAGCTTCAGTGGTGTGTAGGATGGATGGATGGATGGATGGATGCTGCTAAGGTGGCTGTACGTTCCAATAGCTGTAAAACACACGAACATGGATGTTAACAATCGCTAGTAACAGCTTCAGTGATGTGTATGATGGATGGATGGATGGATGGATGCTGCTAAGGTGGCTGTCCGTTCCAGTAGCTGTAAAACACACGAACATGGATGTTAACAATCGCTAGTACCAGTGTTTAGTAAAACAATAGTAAACAGATACTAGTGTAGGGCTGAACACTATCTGGTGTGTAGGATGGATGGATGCTGCTGCTAAGGTGGCTGTCCGTTTCAATATTACCTGAGATATCAGAGGTCTTCTTCCTGCATGATATATATAACCTCGAGTATCACCTATCTATCCCCATACTTCACTCTTACCCCTTCATACCTGATTCTTAGCTTCACGGATTTGACGGGAGAGCAGAGGTGAGCATCGTCCTCTCCCTTCCCTCCACCCCTTCCCCTTCCCTCCCCTCCTTTTTCACTCTCCCCTTCACCCACCCCTCCCCCGTGCATTCTTCTCCCTTCCCCTCCTCCTTCACTTNGCTTCAGTGGTGTGTAGGATGGATGGATGGATGCTGCTAAGGTGGCTGTCCGTTCCAATAGCTGTAAAACACACGAACACGGATGTTAACAATCGCTAGTAACAGCTTCAGTGGTGTGTAGGATGGATGGATGGATGGATGGATGCTGCTAAGGTGGCTGTACGTTCCAATAGCTGTAAAACACACGAACATGGATGTTAACAATCGCTAGTAACAGCTTCAGTGATGTGTATGATGGATGGATGGATGCTGCTAAGGTTGCTGTCCGTTCCAGTAGCTGTAAAACACACGAACATGGACGTTAACAATCGCTAGTAACAGCTTCAGTGGTGTGTAGGATGGATGGATGGATGCTGCTAAGGTTGCTGTCCGTTCCAGTAGCTGTAAAACACACGAACATGGACGTTAACAATCGCTAGTAACAGCTTCAGTGGTGTGTAGGATGGATGGATGGATGCTGCTAAGGTGGCTGTACGTTCCAATAGCTGTAAAACACACGAACATGGATGTTAACAATCGCTAGTAACAGCTTCAGTGGTGTGTAGGANAGAGAGATATGTTTCATTTGCTCTTCAGGTTTGTGAGTCTGCTGACACGATTTGATTCAAGGAATGGTAAGGAAGTCGACTCGACTAAATCATTTTTCTTTCTCTGCTCTGCATCTTCGTCTCTCAGTCTCTCGCCCTCTCATCTCTCGTCTCTCTCCTCTCTTATCTCCTGTCTGCATCTCTCTCTCTGCTCGTCTCTCTCATTCTCTTTCCTCGCTCTTTGCTCATTATTCATCATTGCTTCTTTCTCTCTCGACGGCTCATTCTCAGGACAACTCTCTCTCTCGCTCATGCTGTTTCTCTCTCAGCGTCTCTCTCGCTCCGACTGCATGAACGACGTCTGCTCCTGCTCTGCTCACAGGGTCTGCGTCTTCTGCTTGCGCTCTCCAACATGCTCTCACTGAATCAAGCGACAGCATCACAGGCGCCATCAAGCGGTTGATCACGGTGGTCATCTGGGCATCCTCACGGATGAGTACAACCGGAGATCTGCATGTATGCGTTGCACATGGAAAGACGGTGCATTCAACGGCATGCGCTATGGAGATGTGTATTAGGGCCGACGCTCGGTGCCATGGATGGACGTGCATTCACTGCATCGGCTATGGAGATGTGTAATAGCCAGGGCGCTCAGTTGCCGCGTTGGAGATGTGCAACACTCACTGTCTTGCTAAAGTGATCTTCATCAATGCATCGCCACGGTGATCTGCGTCAACGCGTTACCGAGTGGAGAACGAGACGGCGTTGCTAGCGGTTATCGTGGCTTCGAACCTGATGGAGGCAGCTTCTATCCGTGTTGGAGGACCGATTCCCTGTAGGGCAGGTCCTATCATCAAGTTCCTGTATTGATTGAGGGAGGCGCCGAGTGAACGGCCCAGTCAATCCTGCAAAGAAGACAACAATCAAACACACACATCATATATATAATATATGGAGGTATAGATATTATAGTATATAGTATATGAGTATATGGAGAATAATATATAATATTATAGGTATATATATATATATGGAGAATAATATATATATATTATATAATAATATATATGCGATGAATAATTATAGTATATATATATGGAGAATAATATTGTATATATATACTATATGTAGTGGAGGAAAGATAATGATGTAGTAGTATTATATATATAATATAGTATATAGTTATAATATATGGAGAAGTAGGATGATATAATATTAAGATAGTATAGGAGAATAATCTATATATAGTAGTTAGTATGGATGAATAATAATATATAGTATAGATATGCTGGAAGATTAGTAGAGAGATAATGGGGTAATTGAACGCTTAATACCTTGATATGTGGCATAGGATGCCTATAGACGCGTGGAGCTATGAGGCATATATGGGCATTATATAGTGGATATATATCGCCCTAGCAATTGTTATTATGATATGGTATACTTAAAATTAGTGAACGATATGGGGTATTGAAGCGTTAAACATTAAGATATAGTATATATAATATCGCCTGTTTGTCATTATTTATTAGTCTGATGATAGAGATAATATATGAAGTGAGACGCCGACGATCATATAGTACAACATGTAAAGCGGTACTTCACGAAAAAACAGCGGATGATGGCTATGTATCGGTTTTGTAAGTGAGATTAGGGATTTATAAGTGGATATTCGTTGCGCAACCCTGCAACCTGAACATATCCAAATTTCCATTGGAGGAGAATCCTTTAAAAATTATAGGCTTTAAAAAATACAACAAAATATTGTAGGGTAGTGGATTGAATAGTAGAATAGGCAATCATTCGTTCGTTACAGATATAGATTATTTTGACAAGCTACAGTAAGCATATTATGTGTGGTTAAGCAACGAAACTTCAAATTCGATTATTCAAAGAGATGTAATTAGGAAATATATAATTGATTAATCAATTAGGTATTTTCTGATTATATTTTTACTTGAGATGTAATGTTATCTCATCAAATAGGTTGTGCTGTTGGTGCAAAGGTGTTATATAATATTATTGCTGGTGAGAGTTTGTGTGTTATTATAGACCTTTAAGGTTATAAGAATAAAGTTTACGATTAGGAATTTGACATTTTCTACACTTGCCTTATGTTTGTATGGTACCTATTTGTTTCTTTCCATGTATGAATGTATGACATGCCATTATGTATACATAAGCACACGCAAACATATGCACGCACGCACGCACGCACGCACAGATAGACGTACACACGCGCACACACAGACACGCACGCACGCACGCACGCACGCATCACGCATCACGCACGCACATAAGTATCATACATATATACATGGTAGTGCATGGATATAGTATGAGAGGGTGAGTTGGTATATATACTAGTATATAATATATTACCCTTTTCTGCAGCTGGTTTGGCTCCACTCCAAGAATCACTGGAACAGTAGGGAATCATCCTAGAAAGAAAGAAATGTACACATAATAAATGCTAAAAATATAGTAACAATAATGACAATAATATCTATTACCCGTTATCCTGTCCCTTGCTTCCTCCTCCCCTTCCCTGTTCCTCCTGCTTCCTCTCCCTCTGCTCCTCCGTTGCTCCCTCCTCCTTCCGTGCTCCCTAGACAAGTTCTCATTACCCACAATCAACATATTTATCTCGCCAGCACAGTAACAGTCCGCTAGAGAGACGGGTGCGGTTTTTGGTCGCTCTGCCGCCGGTCGACTCCGATTATACTAATAACGCAGCATAGATGATCAACTCCGATCCGCATTTATTAACTAATAACAGAGCTAGAGATATCAACGGTCGATCCGCATTATACTAACACAGCAGTACCGAGTTCATCTTCTACAATTTATTCATTTATAATTCATATTTCTTTTTTCTTTATTTTTCTTGCATTTATATCTCTTTTCCAAATATCTTTGCCATTTTTAGATCTATCTATTTCTTACATTACTCTTTGTGTTTTCTGACCTCAAACAATCGATTTCTGCTCGATCGTATGTTATATACGACGGTGGGGGCGACAGGCTTGCTGCGGGTGTAGTAATTTAGGCGGGGGGTGGTAAGATTGGAGAGACGAGGAGTTGAGGAAGAGGGGGAGGAACGGAGAGAGAGAGAGGAGAGGAAGCGGAGAGAGAGCTGGGATTGGAGCGAGGGTGAGGACGAGGGGGAGGACGAGAGGAGAGGAGAGGGAGCGAGGAGAGGAGGGGATAGAGGAAGCGATGAAGAGGGCGGGTGGTGGAGGAAGACGGAGAGGAGAGCGAGGCGACGAGAGAGGGGGGAGGGAAGCTGATGGCGAAGAGACTGGCGCGGGAGGGAGGAGAGAGGAGGTGCAGTCGGGAGCGAGAAAGAGCGGGAGAGAGTGAGAGAGAGGGGGGAGGAGTGACGAGAGAGGGGGACGGAAATTTTTTTGGGTTCCCCACTATCAGGTCCGGACTACAGCCCAATCAGCGCACTCCAATTCACGTTTCGACTTCCTCGTAAGCAACAATGGTTAAATGAATACACCTTCGTACCCTAGACCCCTAAGACATTCCCTTACCCTACCCTACATTACCCTAACCCGTACCCTAACCCTTAACTGTTACACGAACCCTGAACTCAATACACTTATAATTGCCAACCCTATATATACAAGCACCATTATATTACAAAACACTATCTATGGGTGTGGTGCCGGATATTCAAGTGGGGAAAGAAGAAACATTTGGGAGGGGCGTGCGGGGATCGGCGTGCGGTGCGTGCGTTTCGTGCGGGCTGTGCTGTCGCATGCGCTTGCGGGCGGGCTGCCGTGCGGGCGTGGGTTGCGGGGCCTGCGGGCGTGCGGGTTGTTGGTGATGTGTGGGCGTGCGTCGCGTGCGTGCTGCGACCGTGCGTGCGAGTGAGAGAGGGGGGACAACTGGGCAGAGAGGGCGAGCGAGCGAGAGGAGAGGAGGCAGCGAGGCTGAGAGCAGAAGCAGAGGAGGGAGCGAGAGAGAGGGGGAGGCGGCGAGAAAAGAGAGGGATCGAGCGAGGGAGGAGAGGGGAGGGGAGGAGGAGAGGGGGAGGAGCGAGAGAGCACGGGGAGGGCGAGAGAGGGAGGGAACGAGAGAGAGTGGGATCGTTGAGTGAGGAGGGGAGGAGTGAGAGAGAGGGGAGGGCGAGAGGAGGGGAGGGAACAGGAGAGAGGGGAGGGACGAGAGGAGGGGTTGAGAGAAAGCAAGGAGGGAGGAGAGCAAGAGAGAGGAATTGAGAGAAAGGACCAAGGGGCGGAGAAAGCAAAGAAGGCGGTGAGATAAATACAAAGGGGAGAAAAGGACCAAGGGGAGAGGAGAAAGCAAGAGAGAGGCAGGGAGAGAACAGACCAAGGGGAGGAGCAAATAGGAAGAGGAGTGAGAGAAGACCAAGGGGAGAGAGAACTAGAGAGGATGTGAGAGGGATAAGACCAAGGGGGGAGAGAGAAGGACCAAGGGAGGGAGAAGCAACGAGAGAGGAGGCGAGGGAAAGACAAAGGAGGGAGAGAGCCAAGCCAAGGGAAGGGAGAGAGCAGAGAGAAGGAGGTGAGAGAAATACCCAACGGGGGATGAGCAGAAAGACCAAGGGGGGAGAAAGCAAGAGAGAGGGGAGAGAGAAAGCCAAAGGGGGGATCGGAGAGCAAATGAGAGAGGAGTGAGAAGAAAGACCAAGGGGGAGGGAGAGCAATCAGAGAGGAGTGAGAGAACGAGAAAGACCAAGGGGTTGAGAGAGCAGGAGAGAGTGTAGAGACAAGACCAAAGCGGGAGAGAGCACGAGAGAGAGAGTGAGAGAGAAAGACCAAAGGGGGGACGAGATGCAAAAGAGAGGCGGTGAGAAAAGGACCAAGGGAGGGCGAGAGCAGAGAGAGGGGTGAGAGAAGACGAGGGGGGGAGAGCGGAGAGAGAGGTGGGTGGGGCGAGAAAGACCCAAGGGGAGGAAAGCAAGAGAGAGAGGAAGGTGGTGGAGAAACGGGACAACCGGGGGGAGAAGAAAGCAGAGAGAGGAGGGCAAGAGCGAGGAGAGAGAAGCCAAGGGGGTACGAGAGCGCGGAGGGGTGAGAGGAGGAAAGACAAGGGATGAGAGAGAAGACCAAGGGGGGAGAGCCACCGGAGAGAGGGGAGAGAGAAATACAAGGGGGAGAGAGAAGAGAGAGGGAGGAGAAAGACCAAGGGGGAGAGAGCAAAAAGAAGAGGGTAGAAAAAGACCAAGGCAGGGTGAGGCCAGAGAGAGGGGTTGATGAGAAGGGGACCGGGGGGGGGGGGCGAGGCGAGGAGAGAGAGAGGGGGGTGGGAGGAAAGACCGAAGGGCGGGAGGAAAGCAAGAGAGAGGAGAGGGGTGGGAGAAAGACCAAAGGGGGAGAAAGCAGAGAGAGGACGAGGCAAGAGACGAGGGGAGAGAGAAAGACCAAGGCGTGGGGAGAGAGCAAGCGAGAGGGGTGAGAGAAAGACCAAGGGGGGAGAGAGCAAGAGAGAGGGGTGAAGAGCAAGCGAGAGGGGGGAGAGAATACCAAGGGGTGAGAGGAAAGACCAAGGGGGAGAAAGAAGAGAGAGGGAGAGAGAAAATGCAAGGGGAGAGAGACAAGACAGGGGGAGAAAGCAAGAGAGAGGGAGAGAGAATACCAAGGGCGAGAAAGCAGAGAGAGGGAGAGAGAAATACCAAGAGGGGATGAGAGCAGGAGAGAGGGGGAGAGAAAGACCAAGGGGAGAGAGCAAGAGAGAGGGGTGAGAGAAAGACCAAGGGGGGAGAGAGCAAGAGAGAGGGGTGAGAGAAAGACCAAGGGGGGAGAGAGCAAGAGAGAGGGGGGATGGAGAAAGCCCGAGGGGGAGCAGAGCACGAGAGAGGGTTGGAGAGAAAAGCGGCCAAAGGGAGAGCAAGAGAGAGGGGGAGAGAAGACAAGGGGAGAGAGGAAGAGAGAGGGGGGGAGAGAAAGACCAAGGGGTTGAGAGAGCACGAGATGAGGGGGGAGAGAAATTTTACCAAGGGGGGAGAGAGCACGAGAGAGGAGGGAGAGAGCGAGTCCAAGGCGCGTCGCCATGTTGTTACGTCATGCGCGGGCGATGGCCGTCTGTAATCGCCGCTCATGTTTGTTTACGTGTTGGTTAGCAATCGCATCTACGCTTAGACGCGCGATGGTGCGGCAGCAGTAGCAGCAGTGCCAGCAGCAGTAGCAGCCAGAGAGCAGTAGGCAACATCCAAGTAGTACAGTAGCAGTAGCAGTAGTAACAGCAGCACCAGTAGCAGCAGCTAGTAGCAGGAGTCAGTATAGCAGTAGAAGCGGTTAGTAGCAGCAAGGCAAGAGTCAAGACAATATAGGGCTGCAGCGACAGCCTAACGACGATATAAAAAGCAAACAAATGGACCTAGAATGAACAGCAGCCAGCAGCAAGCCGAGCAGCAGTAGCAGCAGCACAGCAGCAGTAGTAGCAGCAGCGTAGCAGCGAGGCAAAAAACAGCACCAGCCAGTAACGCAGCAGTAGCAGCAGCCAACAGCCAGCAGTAGCTGTACGGCACAGCAGCAACAGCCAAGCCAGTAACCACAGCTAGTCAGCAGCAGCAGCGAGTAACAGCAGCAGTTAGCAGCAACAACATCAGCAGCCAGCAGCAGTAGCAGCAGCAACAGCAGCAGTAGCTCAGCCAGCCAGCAGTAGCAGCAGAACGCAGCAAGCATTGAGCAGCACAGGCACAGTAAGTAGCAGCAGCAGTAGCAGCAGTAGCCAGCATGCAGCAGTAGCCCAGCAACAGCAGCAGCAGCAGCAGCAGTAGCAGTCTAGCAGCAGCCAGCAGTGTTAGACAGGGATTGTACGCATTGGGATTTATACAGGGACCAGCACGGATGGGTGCCGGTGTTGTGTGTGTGTGGGGATAATAACTAACACTAACTCCTGCGGGCTGACACGGGATTTAGCAGACGGGTATATCGTATTCGATTGGAACCCTTGCTCTATCTTATCTCGATGTGAGAGGAGGGGAAAGCCATTGCTGGTGAGATGTGTTAATATGTTGCTCGCTAATAGCTACCCTGCAGTAGGCCCCTGCTGCACCCTTTACCAGCGATCTCTGATTCCACTCTCGTCCTCGTTCAGATATCCGCTCTTCCCATTCTTCCCACTCTCATTTCCCATTCTCCGTCGTCTCCGCAATCTTTCTTCATCTTTCCTGTCCTCGCCATCTCCTTCTTCCTACCTTCCCGCAGTCTCCGCATCCATCTTATCCTCTCCAAGCATCTCGCACCCTTCCTTACCCACCTTCCCCGGTCCCCCCGTCCTACCTCACCCTTTCAATCTTCTCTAGTCTTCGCTTCTTCATCCCTCGCCTTCCCTTCCCCTCCTCATCCCTTGTCCCTCCTCATCCCTTCCCCTCTCATCCCTTCCCCTCCTCATCCCTTCCCTCCTCATCCCTCGCCTCCCTTTCCTACCCCATCATTTCGCTATCCTCCCCCAGCCCAACCTTCTTGTTTGCGGTGGCCGTTAGTGGTGTTAGAAGCTGATAGCGCTCGCTCTATAGCAGCCAGCTCTATCGCTTCCCCCAATAACTCACACTGACATTCCAGCAGCAACGCAGTAGCAGCGCAGCAGCAACAGCAGCAGCAGCAGCAGCGAGCAGCAGCAGACAGCGCAGCAGCCAGCGCACCACCACCACCCCCACCACCAGCCAGCAGCAGCTAGCCAGCAGCAGCACCACCACAGCAGCAGCAAGAGCACCACCAGCAGCACACCAGCCAGCACCAGCGCACCAGCACCACCAGCAGGCCAGCCAGCAGCAGCTAAGCGGCAGCAGCTACAGCAGCAGAGAGTCACCGCCAGGCCACCGCCTGCAGCTAACCAGCACCACCGCAGCAGCAGCAGCAGCGAGGCTATAGTACGGCGGCTGTGTGATACAGGGCTACGTTCGGCTTACAGCGCCGCGTGAGTCTGAAACCGACGCTCCACAAATTTACGTGTGTCTTTTACGTTCGGCGTACGATTAGCATGGCGTCGCGATCCACGCGCGCGGCCAAACGGACGCCGACACCGCACGCGACTGTTTGATCTACACCGCCCGCGCGCGCGGCGGGCGGCTGCGCTGCGTGGTGCGTACGGCGTGTCGGCGCGTGGTGCCTGCGGCAGCGTGCAGGCTTGCCGCACGCGTGCTGTTTGCGTGCATGGAGATAGCCGTGTGTGTTTGCGTGCCATGCGATGCGTGCCGGGCTCTGTGGCGTGGTGCTGCACTCGTGCGTTGCGCCCGCGCGGTTGTGTGTTTGCCGTCGCGATGCGTGCGTGCGTATGTGCGGGCGTGCTGCGGGTGGGTGGCGGTCGGTGGCGGGCGTGCCTTGCGTCGCGGGCGTGAGTTGTGCGGGCCTGCGGGCCGTGCGTGCGTGGGCGGGCAAATTTATTTTCCCACTTGAGTTCCGGACCACAGCCAATCAGCGCACTCCATTCACGTCGACTCTCGATGAACAATGTAAGATGCGATACCTTCTGATCCCTAACCCTTACCCTCACCCTAACCCGTAACGCCTAACACGTACAGCGAACCCTAATTCAAAACACTACAATCCAGCCCTATATATAAGCCACATATTACAGAAACACTCATCGTATTGTGTGGTCCGGAAACTCAAGTGGGAAAACAATTTCCGCTTTGCTGGGGTGTGTGCGGCAGCCTGCTGGGCCGTGCGTGGCGTGCGGGCGGGCGTGCGTCGGGCGTGTGCGCGCATGCGTCCGCGGGCGTCGCCGTGCGGGGGCGTGGCGGCGGCGTGCGGCGCGTGCTGTGCATCGCGTGCGGCGGTGCCGTGCGGGCGTGCGGGCCGTGCGGGCCTGTGCGTGCTGGGCGTCCGTGCCATCTGCGTGCGGGGGCGGTGCGCGGTGCCGTGGGCGGGTGCGATGCGTGCGGGCACGCTGGGAGCTGGGGGCGTGGGGGCGTGGTTGCGAATACTAGGTACCGGACGGTCTCGGAGGTTCAGGCGAGATGGTGGTGGGTGGGCCGGAGGCAAGTGATGGTGCGAGTGACCGGATAAAGGGAAGGAAGATCGGGGATGGGGTATGAAGGCGACGCGCGAGGGATGGATAGGTTATTGGGCCTGAGGCGGGACCGGGGAGGACCCGGAGGCCCCGCGTAGTACGACACACACGCACTACCGCGCACGGCGCCACCGCGGCACAAGAAACACACACTGACCACAACAACCGCGCACGCAGGCACGACAAACACACCACTCACACAACACATTGCCGCGTGCGCCAGGCACACAAACCCACT